GATCATAGTTTCTTTATTAAATATAGGAAGTGGTGCTTGGAGCTGCTTTAAATTTTGTCATGTCAATCAAATTGAGTTTAGGGGAAAATGTTTTGAAAAACTAAAATAAATGGAAATAAAACCTTAAAGAGTCTCCTCTTCATGCCCTGTGTGTTATCTTCCTGATAATACCACAAAGCTTATGCCAAACTCTGCAGATCTGCTCCAGAGGTATGTCTGTCTGGTCCACAGTGTGTGAGCAGTGAATAGTGGGCACTTTTAGAGCTTAAACAGATAAACTTTGGAAGTGCAGTGAATCAATTCAGCCCACGTGGAAATGTCAGTAGTTGAAATCTTGATAAAAAATTAAGTAGTCTGAAATACTAAACTCACATGAAAATTTGTTTTTACTTTAAACATCTTTCTGTCTTTTTGTACATCAAATACAGGTCATATACATTGCCTATATACTTATAGATTAGAAAATTAATAACTAAGAATGTCAGCACTGTAAACTATAATTGTGATCGACATATACGATGAGTATAGTTGCTTTTTCTTTTTTGAAAGCAGACACTGTTAACTGATCAGTTTACAAAAATAATCACAGCATACACCTTAGTTCATCCTTCTTACTCTTTTTGATCCTTCTAAGGCTTTTGATCTGGTCTTCCCTGCTGTCACCCTCTCTGCCTTCTACAAAAAGAGTGCTCTTTTTCTTTATTGAACATCCTAGAGAGGATGATTTGAAGAGCCACAGGGTGTTATCTGCTTCTTTGGAGCGGTTTCCAAAGGTATAGATCTCACAAATGAGATACTCCTTGCCGATGATGCCATATTTACCAAAAGATTGACCAAGGTGTTATCTATCAAGGCAGTTCTCTTCTTACTGATCTTGCCATAATCGTGCTTATAGATTAGTTTATTTACTGACTTCGGGTTCGGGTACTCCCATGCAATATATGGTTTACAATTCTCAGCTTGTTAATTGAAGCCTATTGAGCTTAAAAAAGTTCCTTTCAACACCTGATGAAGCCAAAGAAGCTGCAACACCTTTTGGACATTTGGACTCACACCATTGATACCTCTGATCCTGATGACAAATGCCAATTTGGGTTCTGCAGGTACATAGAAGCTGTCAGTTTTCTTGCCACCCTAGCCAATCGAATATCAGTTCTGTACATTTGCCAATGTTATTTGTGACAGTGTTTCACTTTTTGATAGATAAGCTCTGTCCTTGCCTTCAGAAGCATCTTTTGGGCTAAACTCCTTTCTCAGGCATTTGATCTTCAGGTCTGCAAAATTCCTTCACTTATTCTTAAGGGTTTCTGGCACAGCAACAACCTTCTTCTCTTTGATATCCTTTGTGGTTCCAGCCAGAAAAAAGTGGTTGCTTTTTCCATTTAAGAAGTTGTTATTTTTTCAAACCATTGAATTAAGTATTCTTTGGTGGTAAGAAATGCAAAGAGCGTATGAAAATTGTCTGCCAAGGCAAAAAGTTGACATTTTTTTTTTGTGGGCAAGCATCTTATTCTTAAATATAAAGTATGAATTAAAGAAATGAGCAAAAGATATATGTGAGCCAGATAGATACAACTTTCATTTTATTTTATCCTTGTACCTGTATAAAATATTGTTCTAGTTCAAGGCACTGGTGTGACTATTCAAGTCCTACTCAAGCCACCCCAGAATGTTAAGATTAATAATGCATGTCAAATAAGAAAAGCAAACATTATGGATCCAGGTGTAAGTGTTGTTTGTCATATTTCTAGCTTTGCTGAATATTTTTTTTTCCTCTGTCAATTTTTTTTACAGGAAGTAATCTTTTATTCCATTGGTGAGATGTGTTTCTAATCTTTTACTCCATGCAGAATAGCACCATTAAGGAAACTTAATTGTATTTATTTTCTGTCTTCTCTTTTTTTGAGATATAGATTTTTTTTTTACAGACACAGGTTTAATGGGCTGCTCTTGACCTGAGATGAAAATCTTGGATTTGTCTTCAGAGGAGGGATTTTGTTCTGCCCCATAGTGTTTATGACCAAAGCATATATTTGCTTCCTTCGTCACTGCTGTGGGGTTATCATGTGCAACTGGGTTAAACAAATGGAAAATACATTCCTATCACACACCCACCTCTGAGTCCAGATAAAAACAAAAGAATGAGACCATAAATGTCATCATTAGCTTGATTTCGTATGTATGCACTCATAATAAATGTGTGTTTGGCACGTACATATTTGACAATGAGTCAAAAATATTCTACTATCATCTTTAATAACTCTTATTTAAGCAAAATATGGCATGAAGTGATGTGATCCAGAACTCTGAGTAATCCCAGCCACAGTTTACTGAGATTTTCAGTAGTTATTGAATCCTATGAATGTGTGTAGCTTTTCTTTAAGTCCTTCTGAAAACAGGTCCGTCCTTGAGGTGTCAGATTAACACTCCACTCAGAAGACAAATTGTTCATGGGCACACTGGACATATGAGAGCCATTAGAGAGTGTGCTCTGCATTCTTGGAAAATGAAAAATTCTAGGCAACATTACATTTTATAAATGCAAGATGTTTATTATTACAGTACCAGCAATAAATGTTTAGAAACTAGAGAGGGTTCACAATGGTTCTGACTAGGAACATATGCCTATCGAGTTCATTGGAAGCGGAGCCATTGATTTTTGGCATTAAGCAAAGGGTCTGGAAGCTATTATGCATTTAAGCTTCTATGAGTATTTAATTGTATCAATAGGAGAACACAATTTCTGTTGTGTGTATAGTGCTGAATGTCTCCATTTATTCATGTTACTGTGCCTGATAGATGAGTTTAAACCAGATGCTGTAACTTTCTTACTATTTGGCCAAATTATTTAAATAATATTCTTTGAAAATGTAGAAAATACTCTATTGAACATCATTAAGTAAGCTTCACCCATGGAATCTGTTTACAGACTTTTCTAAGGACGACATAGAAATTCACACACACACACACACACACACACACACACACGAACTGTGTATAAACATTTCCACGCTTTGATGTAAACTAATAAATACTATTCTATTGCACTTAGAGGTCTGTCATATGTCTACCTTTCAATGATGCTTGCTTGAATATGTGATTACTACTGTTTACTTTATATTTGCCACTGCACACTCAGATGTTATCCAATAATGCAATCCAAAGCTTTTTGTCTGGCAGCTTTCTTTTCATGTGACTGCAGTTAAGATTTGGGCTCTGGCCCTCTTCCACTGTTTTTGACAAAGGTGATTTTACATTTAGAGCAAAACATCTTTTGAAGAAACCCATTCCTATTTTGAATAAAGCAAATACATTTTATATGTAAACTAACAGCCCAGCACCTAGAACAATCAATAACTTACACAAAGTAAGGACACAAAAAATATGTATCAAATGAACAATTGAATGAATGAGCTTATGAAAGGCTCCAAACAAAAGAAAAAACAATAAACATACAACTATTTCCTAAGTAGTCTTTTTCTACCATAAACTACTTCTTTTATTTTTTTAACTGACAGATACAGTTTTATGCATTTACCATATGCAACATGATGTTTTCATGTATAAATCCATAGGAGGTAATGCATTTGTTAATTAGCTATATTGAATCATTTGTTAATTAGCTATATTGAACCATTTCTTTGTAGTTCTGATTTAAGTAAGATATTTGTTCTTGAATTGTTCTGTTGGCCTGTTGGCTTGGCAGGAACCATTGTTGGGATTTGGAATTCATAATTCCATTTAAGTTTATACTTTATTCAAACTTCTGGATCATTACTACCCAATAGGTAATGCTGGTCATTATTCTTTAGGTATTGTGCTATGACCACATATTTCTTATTTATTTACTTTTTTTTTTTTTGTGGCTTCATATACATGATCTATTTGTTCCATTGCGGCTCCTTATTACTCCACGACAGACTCCATGACAGGGAGTACCTTGGGAGATTGAAAGCAACAGGCTCTAAAGTCAGATTTAGCAATGGCAACAAGTTGCCTCATTTCTAAAATAAGAATAATTGTATTACTTAGAAAATTACTTTGAAAAATAAATAATGAATATAAAGCAGCTAGCAATATGAGTGTTATAAATTAGACCCCCTCATTAGGTAAGCTACCAGTAAAATATCTCCTAGAAAACAATCATCACATCTTTGGGGTCTGAATGGGTATAATTTTGTCATGGTGCACACAATATTATTTATCACTGGTAACCTGGTTAAAAAAACAAAGTGAGTCCAAATAATTTTAAATAGCAAAATAGTTACTAAAACTGAAATGCAATAATAAGTAAATGCAAAAAGGTATATCAATATAAAAAAATCATATTTGGTGTTTTCATTCTTGTTTTTTCCTCTTCCAATGTCTTAGGTTAAAGTTAAAATTCTGTATCTAGTATAACAGCATCAATGACTAACTTAAATGTGCAAGCCAGAGGCAGTTGAGGGAGCCAAACAAGTTAAATAAGACCAACAAAAAAGGAAATCTTAAAAAAATTAAATGGTAAGACATTGCACTTACTGTCAAGACATGGCAAATATCAGTTTTCAAATTCAGGAAAATTTTCCACATGGGTGGCATGAAACCCAAGAGAAGGTAATTTGCCAGTGTTATAAGCATAAGCCCATGTGCAGAAAAAAATGAATAAAACAGAAGAATGAGGGAAAGTAACAAAGTTACAATACATTACTATTGGGTTGAGAACCAGATGAAGAATAATCCAAATGCAACATAATTGTGCATTTAAACTATGAAATGGTTAAATTCCTTTATGATTTTTATATCTATTTTTTTTTCCTCTTTCTACATGTTTCCTGCCCTGAATGGGAGTGCTAGGAACTAGATGGAAGAGGAGGGGCAGTTGGGAGGGGTGGGGAATCAAAATCTAAAAAAAAAAAATCCTTTTGTTATTTACTAATCCCTCCTCCTGTGGTATTCTAGGAATTCAGATAACTCATTAACAGTTATCTTTTACTTACAGTGACTCAAGCAAGAGGAGTACTTTCTTTTTAAATGTTTATGGTAAAAGAACATCATGTATAGTTGCCAACAGGCTTGTTAATATTACTGGATGTGCCTGTGCCTCCAAAGCACGGATTTGATAGCTCCATTATTGTAATCTAAATGTCCTGGTAAGAATTTTGTTATTTTACTACTTGTTTATGGTAAAATGAAGTCTTGGTACTTTTTAATAGCTCTGACACCTTATTTCTGATAAGACAAATATGCTTTAATTTCTTGGCTTGTCTTAATTTGGAGTTTGCAACTAATTCCATGATTTAAACATGCGTGATTAATACTAAACACCATGAGAACATCAGATAATATTTGTGATAGTAGTATGAGTGGGGGCAGGAGTAGTAACAGCATTCACGACTAACATTACTTGTTTTCAAAGTCCAGATTTTGTTCTATCTACTCCATTACGCATCATCTAATCCTGAGTAAATCCTCATTTTAAAGATGAACTAACAGATGTTTCACTATGTAACTTGCCCAATGTCATCTAGCAAATAAGTGGTAAAGTCAGATTGGATATTAATAATTTTAAACATTAAGATGTATAAACTTTTTTCCTCTTATTAAGCTTATAATTTAGTTAAGATAATTATTTGCTCTATTGAAAAAAAAAACAGTCTCTTGAAAACTATTTTTGAATATTTACTTGTTATTCCTATAAATATATGATTCATAGGTCCTGGCCCTTATTAGATCATGATTATGAAACAAAATCATCCTTTATTTTTTTGCCTATGATAATTTTGTAGTACTACACAAGAGGGGAGTTTAACTCTGCCTTCCTGTCATCCAAAATATCGACTTTTACTCCTTTTGCCACTTCCTAATGGAGCTGGAACTCAGCCGGGCTCCCTTGATAATGGAGAATTCTACAATGAATGCATCACCTGCTGCCTGTCCCCAGAGTGGGCTGCCTTGCATAGTGCTATGCTAACATGCTGCTTCTACTGCAGAATATTGTGCTGTTGGTGACTACTTTGTCAGGTCCATGGAGAAAGATCACACCATCATGCATGGGAGTAAGATTTTTCTTGGGAAGTCATTAATTATAGCCAGGAATATGTTAAGTATCTGACTTGAGGTGAGGAAGAATACCCTATCTGAATTCACCAGGACGCTAAGCCCACACTCTGAGGTATGGAGCATTCTGGATCTCTTCCAGTAATGGAATGAGCCAGCATAACTCGCAAGAAACAAATAGACCAGCAGCAGCAATAGGAGTAGTAATACCAAGATTCAATATTTAATTGGAGGTGGCAATACAATAAATCAATTCTGCTGGAGACTACTTTCCAAAGAGGTTACTGAGTGTCCTTTCCATGAAGTGTGGTGTGTTGCTTAATTGGCCAATATTTGGGCTATTGAAAAATAGCCCAAACTCTCAACTTCAATATATAACACTCTCCACCTTTAGCCAGGTAGTTTCAGGTAATAGATGATAATGGGATAGACAGAAGTAAAGTTTCAAAAAATTCTGGATCAAAGGTTTATGTTCACAACAGAACATAGAAATATGGATTCATTTTTGAATGCAGAGTAAGAAGTTGTGGTTGAAGTTTATCAACTAGAGGGTCCATAAAAACATAAATGTTATAAAAGTAGACTTTCATCCAAGAAAGAGAAATATATACATCACATCATTTCCTGAACATTAGGAATTCATTTTTGAAAATTCAGAGGTTCTGCATGAAAATACTAACTGGGGGCTTATATTAGTTTCATGTGTCTGCTATAAAAAATTACCTCAAACTGGGTGGCTGAAAACAACAGAAATTTATTCTCCCACAGTTCTGCAGGCCAGAAATCACTGTGCCTAAAACAAGGTGTTAGCATGGTTGCACTTTCTCCAGAGGCTCTACAAGATAATCCATTTCTGGTCTTTTCCAGTTTCTGGTTGCTATCAGCATTCCTTGGCTTATGACCATATAATCCATCCTCTATCTCCCAATACATAGCCTTCTCCTATCTATGCATGTCTGATTAACCTCTTCACTTTTATAAAGATACACGTAATTGCCTTTGGGGTCCACTCAGATAATTCAGAATAATCTCCTCATCTCCAGACCATTAACTTCATCATATCTACCAAGACCTTTTTTTTCCCCAAACATTTACAATTTACAGAAATTAGGATTTATTACAATATCTAGAGAATGTTATTCAGCCTACTACAGAATGTATTTGCTATTATTTTAAACTGGAAAAATGATAATAGGCTACATGTTAAACTAAGACTATTAGGCAATATCTTATAACTAAAACATGGTAAAACACCATGTAAATATACACAATACATACCTAAAATGCTACTTCCTCACCATACAGCTGGGCTAAGGCATTTCTTAAGAATACAACTTAGGCACAAGGCCACACTGCAAGTAGATATATGGTTTCTTTAGGATATCAAATTCTAAGGAGGGTCAATATTGAGTCTGCTGAAATTGTTTCAGGGACTCACTGGTACATCCAAATATGGGTTTCAGGATCCAGTGCGGTGACTCACGCCTATAATCACAGCACTTTGGGAGGCCAAGGCAGACAGATCGGAGGTCAGGAGATCGAGATCATCCTGGTCAACCTGATGAAACCCTGTCTCTACTAAAAATACAAAAATTAGCTGGGTGTGGTGGTGCATACCTGTAATCCCAGCTATTCGGGAGGCTGAGGCAGGAGAATTGCTTAAACTCAGGAGGCGGAGATTGCAGTGAGCCGAGATCGTGCCACTGCACTCCAGCTTGGCAACAGAGTGAGACTCGGTCTCAAAAATAAATAAAAAAAATAAAATAAATAGTTTTCAGGATGCCCAAATATTCATCTTTTAGTTTTGGAGTCTGTATGTGAGACCTAGGATGTATCAGGAGGGTGTTATGACAATCCTTTTGTGTTTACTTAAGTATGCAATGTAAACAACAAACAAATCATTTTCTGGGTTGCCATGACATTTAATGAGTGTGGGAGAAGTACTGCACAGACACTGCTAAATCCTTGCTGTGCCCTTCATAAATACCTTTGCCTTTCCTGGTACAGAAGACATGCTCCAGTGTTCTCCCTACTCCTTGTCTGGTCCATTTGTGTTGCTGTAACAGAATATCATGGACTAGACATCTTATAAACAACAGAAATACATTTCTCACTTTTCTGAGGCTGGGAAGTCTAAGATCAAAGAGCCCCCAGGTCTGGTGTCTGGTGAGGGTTTTTTTCCTGGCTTATTGATGGTGCCTTCTTACTTAATCCTCACATAAAGTCAGCTTGCAAACAAGCTGAGGGCTTTTATCACATTTACGAGGGCTCTGTACTCATGAACCAATTACTTCCCAAAGGCCACACCTACCATTATCATCTCCTTAGTGGATAGGATTTTAACATAAAACTTTGGTGGTAACACAAACATTCAGAGCATAGCACTCCTTAAAGATCTGGACTTCGGGTAAACTAGATGGAAATTGCCGTCATGTTTAACAAAAATTGCAAAAACGGTACAGTGCCTGCTACAATTTACATAGTCTTTGAATATTGTTGTTGGCATTAATAGTGAATTTTCGTAAATAAAAATAAATGGATTTATTGGTTGGAGGTTGATGAGACCAAACAGAAGAGTCAGTAAATTCCATTTGATAAAGGAACTCATACAGGAAATTTTAAAACAAGCAAAACAAAATATTAGCAAAAAAAAACAACCCGCAGTTAAAAACAAATTATAAGTGACATTTATTTTTTTCTGTATGTCATGCCAGAAACAAACGTTAGTGACACACATTCTTTTAAGTTGTCCAGGATGTTAAAGTCACCTTGTCCTTTTTGTTCTAAGTAACAATTAGGTTCAAACTCCATTTCACATCCCAGCTCCAGTCAGCCCATCCCTTGGGTTTAGTAAGGGGCTTGAACTTTGTGCCTAATCATATGTGGTCCCTATTTATTGCTTCTCAGTAAACTCTTCATCTCCCTCAAGTCTTTCTGCATATGGCTGTTTCTGTCTTTCCTCTCTTGTCACCCAAATCAGTCCCTCTTCCACCCAGCCATTGGAGTAGGAGACTTCTACTGAAGATTGAGGAGTAACAGAAACACAGTTGGTGTACAAGGAATAGCGCTGCATCACTGAGCAGCACGTAATTTAAATTGGCACATTTTACAGGCTTCTTTAATTAAAAAGCGAGGTCAGATCCACAACTGAAAAAGTATTCTTTTCATTTCTGGGGCCATCTCTGAATTCACAATATCTCAGACACCTCTCTTTACATTTTCATTTTCAGCCAGCTTCTGTAGTCTAGGCACTTACATAAGAACTGCTTTTTTCACAAATTACGGACCCATCAAGGTAACTAGTCCTCCATCAGTTCTAAAAATTATACTTTTTCTGCCCTCTCTTTAAGATTTGTAATTATTTAATATATTTGATAGTGGATCTTGTAAGAGCTGTAATGCTACCTGTGTCTTCATAATATAAACCAAGGGTGTTTTTTCCCCCATTATCCTAAATTAGTAGGAAAAAGGATTAGGTACGAATTTAGTAACATGTTAACATCCTAATTAACATTTAAAACCTACAGGCCTTGTTTATACATGGGCAGAAAACAAGGCAGATAAACAGAGCCCAGTGTGACTACTCTGGGGGAGTTTCTTCCTTCCCATTGAGATGAGACACAGGAAAACTCTACAGTAACTGGAATCAAGAGCCAAACTGGGCAGTGAGTAAGTTGAATCGATAAATGTCCACTGCAAGCCAAGCCATTTTTAAAGAGCATACATTCCTTATGAAAATATCTGGGTGGTACAGAGAGGTGAATCCTAGCCTGGAAGACTTAAGAATACAAATATTAGATGAGTAAGGCCCTTAAAAAATATGGGAATCTATAGAGTGTCTTTCCAGGTAAAGGAAACCCTACCCTTAAATACATTTCTTTTTCTGTCCTTGAGTTTCTCAATGGTAGAGCTACTCAATCCTCCATGCCTTATATTTCACATGTTCGTCTATTGACCTCAGCCGGGAATATTAGGGAGGTTAGATACAAGTTGGGTAAAAGACATATATCAGCAAATAGACCAATTTTGTGGTTCTCTGGGTTTTAAATTTCACTTAGTACATTTCAAAAATAAATATTAATTCATTATAGCT